ATCCTATGTTGTGTGCAATCTTCCCTGGCCAGAAAACAGTGATGTTCTGTAGCTGGGTTGCGACCTTGGTGCAAGTGCAACAACACATCAGCAAGATTCTCCGTGGCTTGCCTAGCTAGTTCCAGCAGCTGTTTGAAGTTGGGGTCTGACGTGAGCATCGACTAACTGGGCACATCTTGGGATCCTGGAGAGCTTGCATTGTTGCTGTTACTAGAATTCACTCGGCGAGCGGTTCCTCAAGGAGGAAGGGGCATCATCATTGTTGCTGCTGTCATCGCGCAAGGCTATGCCAACCAAGAGTACTACCTCGGTTTCGACCACGGCTGTACTGACAATGGCTACGCCCTCGACACCTTCGACTGGGTTTCATTCAGCCACAACCATTACTTCTCCCTCGTTGAAGTCTACCCCGACTCCGACCAAGGCCAGGAACATCGAGCGAAATGAGATCCGGGTGGTTTTTGGTGGCGTCGGCGGCTTGGGGTCAAGCCGCGTTTCAAGGAGGGAGGGATGTCAGGGACCTTCCCTAGCTATACATGTACTTGGGCTGGCTCTTGATATCACATAGGCTGGGCCTGGCCGGGCACCATCAGACTGCTAGGAGCTACAAACAGCTGGAGGGGAAGCAACGACAGACCCATCCAGTGGATCACGGCACCGAACGGCACGGCGGCTCCTTCTCCTACCTCCATCTCTCTCCTTTCCCCTTTTCCAGTACTCGTTCCTCTTGTAATGGCTACTCTGTAATCGAATTCTCTGTGCGAAGCCAGTAATCGAGAGACTATAACCAGTTCCTTACACATGAGTAGAGCACAAGCGAGTGTTTAATGCAGAAGAGCAATTCTAATTTGTTCTCCGATAGAAGCCATTCAAAGAAAGAAAAAAATGGTGCCCTGTCTTTTGATTTCATCACAGGCAAATCCAAAGGAGCATCTAAGCCTACTGACTTGTCCTTGCACCGCCATATTTTATTTTATTTTGAGAGAGAGAGAGAGAGAGGGATTTTGCTTTTGTTAAAGTGTTATAATTGTGTTGCATTTGATGTCGAAGCATCGTCAAATTTGGATTTGCTGAGGGGCCAGCAGTCACCCGGGTGATTCCGGCCGTCCATGATGGCTGGCTGGATCAAATGATGCACTCCTATTATCTTTGCCATTCTCACGCATGTAATCATCAGTCATTTTTGTTCAAGTTCCATGAAATGCTTGCTAGCATACGCGTATCCCAAGTATCTCCGTATATTTGGCAATACCGATTGCAAACAATGGGATTTTTTTTTAGGGAAAACAAATAATGGGACTGAGGACACATGAATTTGTCGCTCGTGACGGTAACGGACTTGCTGTCAACTTAGCGGTCGCAAATCTGGGCGCGTGGGCTTGTTAGGTAGGTGTGTTTTCTTAACATTTTATTTATTTATTTTGCTTATATTTTAAAGTATTATAGGTACATATATTTCAGAAATTAATTTACTAAAATGTTTAGAATAGTTGATTGCATTAAGAAATATACTTTTGACATTTAAAAATATTCACACGTTTCCAAATAATATTTATGTGTTTTCTTAAAAGTATTTATACAATATAAAAAAGGCTTGTGTCATTGAAAAAACGTTTTTTACAATTCAAAAAATGTAGCTAATATTTTGAAAAATATTCACGTGTTTCCAAAATAGGCTCAAGCATTTCAAAAATATGTTGGTCGCATTTAAAAAAATGTTTATACAATATAAAACAATGTTTGCATAGTTTTAGCAATATGCTTCATGCCATTAAAAAACTTTAATATGTATTTGAAATTCGTTTAACATGTATTTCAAAAAATATATAGATCACATATTTGAAAAATATTCAATATGTATGAAAAAACGTTCCACATGTATACGAAAAATGTACAACATGTATTAAAAAAATTAGACATTTGTTGAAAAAATAAAAATAAAAAGCACTGGAAACTGGAAAAATTAAAAGAATACGTGGATACTTCTAAAACCGGGAATAGAAGATTTCCAAAACCGGCCATACTGGGCCAGGCCATTTAGCGGTCGCCTACCGTCTCGTAGTAACCGAGATATAGCTCCGCTGGAAAATCCTCCTGTATGTCACAACCGATGCTAGAAGACAGAGTGAGCTAGCGAGCTAAATTGTCCCACCTATGGACTTCAGCTTATACAAGAAACCAGTTTGGGAATCCGGCCTTTTCTATTGTTTTCCTATATATCGGTTTTACCAGCTTTTTGCCTTCTTATTTTCTGTCATATTTCCTATTTATTTTAGTTTAGAAATAATAATTTTGTAAATTGAGCTTATTTGTTTTTAAAAACATTATCATAATTCTTTATAAAATGTTTAGTGTTTTAAATACAAATTTCAAGTATTAGAAAAGTCAAATAAGAGCTCTCCTTGGCGCACTGCCTTGTGCCCAAGATTTTTTTTTTGTGTGAATGCAGCAGGCATCAAAACAAAATTTGTATTTTTGCGCGTTTTTTTCCTGCTACATGTAAAAAGAGATCCTTATTTTCCGTATATTTTTTTGAACATAGTAAAATTCAGTGAAAAGAGGAGAAACGTACTTGTTCTACTTCCGACGCCATCCATCGGTCACGGTCTGAACGGTATTACTCGCTCAGAACGAGCCTCTCAACCAGCGGCCGGCTGAAACTCTGATTTTGTCTCCAGAAAAAGTGGCGATCGTGTCGCCATATGTTGTCGAACGAGAAGAGCTGTAATCATATACAAACCGAAGCAAACTGGAGAGGAAATAAGGACCCCAAAACATGAAATGCCAACTGAAACTCATTAGCAAATCTAAGAATTCTATGCCATGATCAGCTCAAAGAGAACAAATGTATCAAGTACAGTACAACACAGGCACACAACACGCAACAGCAGCAGCAGTAGCAGCTACAGTAGACCCAGAAATCAGATGAAGGAAACCAAGCTACGCCAAATTAACAGGCTAGTCACAAGGGTGGCTGCCTCCGGTTTCTTCGACCAGTTTCGTCTGTCGAATATTACTCCTACTTACTACACCTTCTGAGTTTGGGTGTTGTGCTACAATAAACGGCGCAGGATTTAACGGCCTTCTGTGAGCTGAGCTGATGTATCGAACAGGTGTTGTTTCTGGTACTCCCTCCTCTTCCAGGTGCTCTTCTTGGTAGGTGTTCAGCTGCTGCCACGGGTGGTACCTGCGACTGTCATGGACAACACAAGTAAGCGGTTAGCGAGCATTAGACGGTACTGACAGACAAATTAGTGATCTTGTTCGAATCAGCGGGCCACGGATCGAGCTTTCGAACAGATATATAGCTAGATTTCTCACAGCAGGAGAAGGATTAATGACACCTACCTGAGAACCAGCTCAAAAGTCTTCTGTGGAAAGGCCTGATTCATCGAGTCCTTTGCTCCACCTTCACTCTACCTACATGCCTACAGTCAACACAAGTTCAGAAGCTCCTTTAGGAATGAAGTTACACAAAACAATATATCTGCAGTGGTAATTGGTTAGGCCTACAAAGCACCATTCTGTGCAACCAGATCATAACAGGTCTCCATTTGAAAAGAAAAAAAAAAGGCAGACACTTAGTGTACTTATTTGACAGTCACTGAATCCACAAATAGTCACATTCTATTACACCAGGATCGATAGATGCAATCGATCAGTCAAGAAAATACAGACAATTCAGTTAAATTCAGACTTACAGACCTATCGCATGCCACAGACAAACCAATCACAACGTCCATGTATCAAACACAAACAGCGGCACATGCCGCTAATTACGACAAGCAGAAATTAAACACACTCACACTGACAGAAACAGGAAGCAGTGGGAACGAAACTATCCACGCGGTGTTGGTCACACGCCTCCCCAGCTTGATGCTCCTCGTCCCTCTCAAGGATGCCCGCGTGAGAGAGCAAAGCCCACAGATGGGTGATAAACTCGCCGCCTTGCGTGAGCTGCTCGATGTGCTCATTGACATTATCTGATGGCGCGAGGTAGAGCAGCATCTCAGCCCAGAAACCAGCCATCACCTGCCACCGGGCGCCCTCTTCCATTTCCTCCAGTTGCTTCCCCAGTTTCACACCGCTCTCAAAGATGGTCTTTGGTTCCTGTGGTAACTTTAATCTCTTCATGGCCTCGTACATGCTCGTTGACTCTGGCGGGAGTTTAATGGCTTCTACTATGGCTGCATCAAATTTGCTTCTCGTATCATAGTGATGCCCAGGAAGAAGCTTTGGTACAGAGACCACCAAGTACGCACAATATTTTGACAGTTTTGTGGCAATGCTAACAGTACATACATCAGGTTTTGTTGCCCTATCTTCAGAAAGTGTTGCCATCTCACAGTACCATGTTGCAATGTGCCAAGTCAAAATAATGTGTGTCTGATTCTGTTTTCTCTGGGACCAGCTTGGATCCGGGTGCAATTCCCACTTGCAAGCCCATAAGAGGTCATGTGCTCCATTGAATCGTAAGGAGGATTTCCCATTGCTTAGTGTACCACTGGTACGTTTTAGGGAGCAGATAACCGCCTTCTTTACTTCATCAGGCAACTCCACAGATTTCCAAGTTCTCTTTCGGGCCCTGAATGCCTGCTCATTTTGGCGATGGTTGAGCATGAAGTTGGAAAGATAACAAACTCTCCAAACTAGCATTATCATGCGCGTTCGGAGAGAGAGTGTATCTGCTGATGGCCTAGGATTGCAACTGACAGAATCAAGTAATGAGTACTGGCCAAGCTTGTGCTGCCAGTAGACAGTAGTGGTTGTTTGATGCACGTGACACACCAATATTGGCAAGCAATCCCTTTAATCCCATGACCCAGCTTCCCCTTGTCCTTGTTTTCTTTGTCTGCGAGTTCGTTCTACTGAATCTTGCTTGTTCTCTGATAGACTGACAAGCAAAGGATACTCTGCCCCAAATACCCGTCCAGTAATATAACAGCTCTACGAATTCAAGCAAAGCAGTGGATGTAAGTATCACTAACGTGATAACAACATCATCTATAATAAATGACAGCATACTTGGTGAAGAAGAAATCATACATATAGGCCAACTCAACCTCAATCACCTTGAACACCCTGTTGTAGTCTGTGGCACCATCAGTTAGAAGCCCTTTGAAGATAAACTCATGTGTCCTGCCTTTGGACTCGTCGCAGGCAAACCCAAAGAAGCGCCTTCTTAGCAGATGGAAAAGAGAGAAGGAAAGGCATGCATCTTTTAGCTCTGGGCCTAGTGACTTGACCCATATCTTCTCAATGGTAATGACTTCATCATGATCCCCCACTGTTAATTGTGTTCCATATGATGTTGAAGCATCAAACTTGGATTCGCTAATGGGCCAGTCAACTAGGTAATTGCAGCCTTCCATGGTGGCTGGATCAAATACCCTCCCGTTTTGCTGACCATACATGTAATCAGCAACAGTTTTGTTCAAGTTCCATGAGTAGGCTGCGAGATGACACACTGCAAGTCTCCGTAAATATCTTGTGACAGCAATGAAAGATATATAAGCAAGTGCTAGGATGTAGTTGCTCTTCGTCTGCACGGTGGTGAAAAGTAACACCACGTATGTATGGTACATAAAAGCCTGGTAATTGAGTCTTGTTACTTGTATGTTGTCATCGAGACTATAAGCTGTCATAGAGTCGGTACAAGCATGAAGCATAAACAGAGATAAGGCCCAAACAGGGTACATCCTGCTCTTCACCTCAGAAGATTGCATGGAACCAAGTGTGTACGTTGCCAACGAGAAGGACACGGTGTAGGCACCTAGGACACCTTTCTGGAGGAACCAATTTCTGCTTCGGCGACGGCGGGACCCAAAGCAGGCGAGGAGTAGTAGGATACCAGCAACCAATGATACAAGTAACTCGATGCAGATCATTGTTATCTTTGGATTTTTTCCACAAGTCTCTTGCGTCATGTGACCAGGTCATTATTGTGGAATTCCAAACTTCTACCTGTCCCTTCAACGATTCATGCTGACCATTAACCTTCAATGAGTATAGCTGTTGTAAGTTACAAATTAATCATCCTAAGAAGGTTCAGATCTAAGAAGACATTCATGTTGATGTTCATACTTCTTATGTTGATTACAGGTATTGTCTAAGTAGTTGTTCTCACATTCTGTTTTTTCATTTCTGGCACTCCCTCCGTTCCTAAATATAAGTCTTTTTAGAGTTTAAAATACTACATACGGATGTATATAGACATACTTTAGAGTGTAGATTCACTCATTTTGCTCAGTATGTAGTCCTTTATTTGAATATCTAAAAAGACTTCTATATTTAGGAACGGAGGAAGTACATGTCAGTTGCAAATGACCCAAAAACTAACTCAATGACACGGACTATTTCGACCACCTCCAAAATCTCATCAACAAAGGAGTGAGCCTAGCTCACTCGGTTAGGGGAGTGGATGTACGACCCAGCCGCCCGGGTTCAAATCCTCATGGATGTGAATTTGGATTTTGGCAAGACTGAAGGGAGTAGAGTAGAGAGGCACGACTCTGTCCTAAGGCAAATGATGATCATAGCAAAAACAGTTGCTTACCATGTCTTGACTCATTTCGTTGACGTCTAATGGGTTGGCTTTCTCCTTCCTTTCCTTCCAGGAGACGAGCTACAGCACCCAGCCCAGGAGCTAGCTAGGTGCTTCAAATGAAAATGGAGTTAGACAGACCAAGTTCCACAGATCCAAGCTAGCTGCCTGACTCACTTTCTTGTATCTTGCAGTACCAGTCAGCAGCTCGATGCACACATACATTTTATTTAGAGAAAAGTATACTTTTCGTCCCTCAATTTTTGGCGGAGTCTAGATTTGGTCCCTCAACTCCATAACCGAACAACTTGCACTCTTAACTTCTGAAACCGGACAAGATTCATCCCTGGTCATGGTTTTGACCGGTTTTGGTGCTGTCCCACCCCGGTTTTGACCGTTCCGACTCAAATTTGCCTACCTTTTCCAAGTCCACGTGATGTTTTCAAATTCGGTTATTTTTTCTCAAATACGTGAACCTTTTTAAAATTTGTGTACTTTTCTAAAATCTGTGTACTTTTTACAAGTTCATGTACTTTTTCAAATATGTGTATTTTTTAAAGTTCATTTAGTTTTTTTAAGTTCATTTATTTTTTTAAATTGATGTACCCTTTCAAATTCGAGTACATTTTATTGAAAGAGATCATGAATTTGAAAATTTTATGCAAACTTGAAAAAAGTACGCGGATGTGGACTTCTTTCACGCAAAAATATGTGGATTTCAAAAATTATTTTATCTTGAAAGAAGTATGTGAATTTCAAACAAAGTTCATGGATTATAAATGGAACACGGAATTGAAAAAAAAATGTGGACTTTGAAAAGCATGTGGATTTGAAATAAGTATGCGAATTTCAAAAACAGTTCATGCCTTTGAAAAATACTTGGATCTGATAAAATTACACAAACTTGGGGAAAACGGGGATTTGGAAAAGGTACGTAAATGTTAAAAACGTGAATTTTAGAATAGTTTGCTGATTTGAAAAAAAGTATGTTTATTTTTGAAAAAAATACGCGACCTTGAAAAAACTATGCGGAGTTGAAAAGTGTATCTGGATTTCAAAAAGTTCACGGATATAATTTTTTTTTACAGGAATCTAACTGAGCATGGGTCAAAACCGGGGTGAGTCAACACCAAAACCGGTCAAAACCGAGGCCAGGGACGAACCTTGTCCAGTTTTGGTAGTTGAGGGTGCAGGTTGTCCGGTTTTAAAGTTGAGGGACCAAATCTAGACTTCACCAAGAGTTGAGAGACAAAAAGTATACTTTTCTCTTTTATTTATTTATGTGAGTTGTCTGACCAGGACCAGACCAACAGCGCGAGTCTATCCTAGTGCAATTTGTTATTGTTAAGATTCATTAATCAAAATTATCATGCACTACATGACTAGCTCTCTTCTTTTAATATTGATCTTTAGGTCATTGTGTAGTGTGGTCAGTTGGATCTTTAGGTCATTGTGTAGTGTAGTCATCTTTATATGAGGGGTTTGTTTAATTTTTGGCCCGCTTGGAACGTCGTTTTACAGCTGTAAAATACTCCCCCGTAACCAAAAACCGGGCCCCTTTTAGTTAGCCAATTGGTTCGTCGTTTTGGGCCGTAACTTTTACACGTGTTTTCCATATTACACACGTAACGGGCCGGTATCTGATACGGACCAGCACCCGTCGTTTTTCCCCCATCTCGCTCTCGCTCGAGACCCTAGAACAAGACTGCGCCGCCGGGAGGCGCTCGCGCCTGTGGCGGAGCCAGAATTTTTGTGGAGCCTGGGCAAGTTGAGACTATGTGCATAATCTTGAAATAAAAAATCAGGTATTCCGATACACAATATATAATATACCATCAAACTTTCAAATCACAAATCTCCATTAATAATGACTAGTAAAGGGCCCGTGCGTTGCAACGGGAGAGACAAATTGAATCCTATTATATTCGGGCGACCTATCCGTGTTGCCATTTCTCTTCACCATTATCGTTGATGGTGGTCATATTGTCCACCTATTCACGATGAAGATGATCAATCCCAAGGCGATGAGGTTGTTCATCACAGTCGATCACACCACTTTCACGATCCCTCCTTGCATCATATTATAATTTTGCGAACTTGTATTGCTGGTGGGCGCCACCCATGTATGGTCTACATATGGTGCATGCACCATCTCCACACTCCCGCACAGAATTGCAACGACATACCTTGGGTGGAGCATAAACGGCCAAAGTTTGAACCGTTCAGATTGACGGTTCGGGTGTACGAATGTCATGCTGGAAACTTGCAATTCAACTTGGGTTTTGGTCGAGGGACTCAAACTTATGAGTGAAATTGCTTATTACAGACGTTCAATCAACTCCTACAGGGAACCAAGATAATGCTGATGGATGCATGAAGGAACTCATTAGCAGACCGGCAATATGTTGGTAAGAAAGAAAATAAGCATCACAAATACAATAAAATATGCAGGCACGAGAGCCCCTACCTACCTAGTACAGTACTCCCGGATCCTCACAAAAAAAACCTAGTACAATACTCCCTGGGTAAAGAAATACATGAGCGTTTGATCTAAACACTCTTAGATTTCTTTACAGGGGAGTAGTATCTATCTGGGTAGTTCATAATAATACAACGCTTGTCCTGGTTCCGCCCGTCGGGAAACTAGGAGGCTTATTGCGTTGATGCCAAATTTTGGCAACTGCCAAATGTTGGCTATAGATTGGCTGCATAGCAATTTTCGTTTCCAATCTCACAAAAGATTGTCAATTGTTGGTAACTTTTGATTTTGTCAAATGTTGGTTGCAAACCAATTAACCTCTAGAATTGTGCGCTCTACCGCCTGCCGAAGACGATGTGGATGACCATGTTTTTTTCTTTTAGCTGTAGGATGACTGTGCACTTACAAGATGAGGGATTCTTAACTTTTTTGCTTATCACCTACCTCCCGATCCCAGCCCAGCCCCGCCCTGTTGTTTGGGTGAAAGTTTGAGATCCGTCCATAGTTTTTATATAAAAAAGGTACAATTTATTTCATTTTTTTCATACAACTAATTTTATATACAGTGTGTTCACCAAAAAGAAGTAAAAATATTCATGTATTATAAAAAATATTGGCACATATCAAAAGAAAATTCGAGAAATTATAAAAAAGTTTGTGTATTTAAAAAGTTTCTATATTTTCTAAAAAATCATATAATTAAAAATTGCTTGTGCATTAAAAAACTTTCATGTAACTAAAAAGTGTTCCCATATTTTTAAAATATTTACGTAATTTTAGTAAATGTTCATGCAACTGTAAAAAGTGGTCACATATTATTATTTTTATATTCGTGTATTTATCAAGCTGGTGGGGAGCTCCTTCGAGCTGGCGCCTCGGGAGATAGTGGTGACTGACGACGATGAGAATGAGCTTCTCGACTCCATCCTTCCTTAAGAGGCTGCTCCAAATGAGAAGGCGTCCAGGAGGGGCCTCTCCTTGTTAAGCTTCCTTCATTTGATAACTTGTCAAACCTAACTTGTCGCAGCTTGTCTAGGTGGAGAGCGTGTCGTTTCGACTGATGAGTAGATCATGGCCCAAATTGATACGATAGAACATGCCTTGGGTGACCGGCTTCTAGCTCTCCACTTGGTGAGTGCTTGTCTTCATACATATATGGCTTGCTACCTTGTTGTGACCCTTGGGCTCATTGGGCTCACCTGGCATTTCAGGTAGAGGCCATGTCGAAGCCCGTGCACCTCCTTCTGATTCTCAAGGACCAGACCTATTTCATGAAGTCGTTAGTGAACTTGGATAAGGACAAGTCTTACCATATGCCCTTTTGAAGGTGGGGAAGAGGTGGTTCGCTGATTTAAGGTGGAGCATGACGTGTGGCCTGATGAGACCCCGACTCCTTGACGCGCGCAACCTAGAGGCCACCGAGGTGTATTGCCGCTCTCTGAGTCATGATGGCTTATGGAGCACTTGGACACCGTGAAGAAAAGGGCGACTCGCTTTGAGGAGAAATACTATGCCATGGAGCAGCTTGGCATTTACTCAAAAGGAAATGATGGCTCGCCACAAGCTTTCCTTAAAGGAGCATTTTCTTTTAATTTCTAAAATTCTAGAACATTTATTCAAAATTTAAGAATTTTTTAGTTCACATTTTTCTGAAAATTGTGAATATTTTTAAAATTTAAAATATTTCCTAGATTCATGATTTTCTAAAATTAATCAACTTTTTTAAAAATCTATACGCATTGTAATTTTTTTAAATCCATGAGCATTTTCGAATTTGTGAACTTCTTAAAGTCTATAAGAAAACTGTCGTCGGCTTTCTAGTGAACCAACAAGTGGAGGTGCCTTTAGATGATCGAGCGAGAAAAAAAATACGAGCAAGGCTGGCTAGCGTAGCAAGGAAAGCG